CCCTAGAACCAATTCTTTGATCCCTATAGATCTGGGGCCCATCATTGCACTCGTGCAAGCCGTCCTCTGGAAGGCCAGAATGGGTCTTATGCCAGTCCTGACACAGTGCGCCAAGCGCATGTTTTGATTTTCATCATCAGCATCATCATCATCATCACCACCATCACCATCATCACCACCATCATCATCACCACCATCATCATCATCACCACCATCATCATCATCACCACCATCACCATCATCACCACCACCACCATCATCATCATCATCCTCATCATCATCCTCATCATCATCATCATCATCATCATCCTCAACATCATCATCATCATCATCATCATCATCCTCAACATCCTCCTCCTCATCATCATCATCATAATCATCATCATCATCATCCTCATCATCCTCCTCCTCCTCATCATCATCATCATCAGTAATGAGTCTGAAGATTTCATCTGCCAATCTGGGCATGTTTTACCAAAAAAAACGAGCCCCGCTGCCCGGCTCGCCATCCTCCAGAGCCAACAAAGACACGGGATTGCCCAAAGCAGCGCCCAGGGCTGAGGGTAAAGCCTGTGGCTGCAATTAAAGTGGGATGAGAAACCTCAAAATCTGACTTTCCACGTGATTTTTGAGGTGAGAAGGTGAGATAACTCCAGAAAAACACAAGGGTTTTAACATCCAAAGACTATCCAATATGGGCTTTCATCTGCAAAAGGAGGGGTCAATGAGGATAAATTATGATAATTCACCTGCATCAATGCCCAGCATAGTTAGCCGTACCAACCCATCACAGTGACGTCGCAGAATCTTTCAATGACTTCATGATTGTGGCAATGTGGTAAGGTGGTAACCCAAAAAAAAAACATTAACCATGTCCAATGACTTGCAATAACAGGTTCGCAATTACATGATCCGAAATCAGAGTTTTATGGAGTTGGATCTACCGTAGTAGCACTAGTTGGTAATCATCATTTGACATGAGTAAGCCCAGTTCGAGGAGCTTACATCAGGATTGCCCAATTGCTAGCCATGGGAAGTTCATGGCCATGGAAATCGTACGTCAGGATGATTCGCTGAGGATGCAGCCGGATATCCGGCTTCCAACTCATCCAACTTCGATGCCTCAACGCTACGTCAAAACCGCAACATCCAAACCCGCCACGTCTGGAACTAGTCTAAGGATCGGACGGCTTCTCGGTGTCCATGAAACCTGTCCAAGTTTGGTCACGATTGGTTTTGGTGCAACACAACTTGACGACTCATTCATCACTGCCGGTGCAATCAGATCAATCCCCCATCTCCCCAAATTTGGCACTTCAGCAGCCTGGGACGGTCGCCTTTCTGGACTTTGCGAGCCTCCCGCAGAAACCATGATGATTCATGTGGGCCAATAAAGCTAGCATTTGGGGATGAAGATTACAACATTAAAAAAAACACGTAAAAATGCTGATATAGGGATGGTTTGTGGCATTATGGGTTTACCACATTATTGTGATTGCTCCATATTGCTAATCATCAATCCAATCACCATGATGATTATCACTATTGCGTTTATTCCTAACCACCATATATGTACATATATTATGTGTGTATATTATATATATATTATGATTAGTTCAGTTCTGACACACTTGGTGGTGATGGTGCACAGCGGTTGCCCCTCCTCTCTGGCCGAAAGTGGTGTCTCGAGGGACGGCAACTTCGATGCCCGACTTGGCCTGGCATGATCCAAATGGAGGCTTACCTCCGAAAAAAAAGGCCATGTTTTAATCGAAAAATGATCAAAAATTGGGGGTTCACCCGAAAACTTGCCGTTTGTATGGCTGGATTTGGGTGTTTTTCATGTTTTTACCCATCATTTCCAGGCCCAAATCAGGAGTTTGCAGGACAAGACCACACTACGGCCAGCCTGTATGTCAAAGGAGCACACTGCAAAGGCATCTTCGCATCTTCAGATAAGTCACCATCAGGATACGCGGATGTTCAAAGCTGTTGGTCAGGCTAGTGGCATGTGCAGAATGGTGTCCAATGAAAGGCCCTCGCTTGCTTTCAATCTCGCAATGCATCGCTTTTCTTTTGAACCAAGCAAGCTTCGGCTCAAAGCAAACCACCAAATAATGAGTTTAATAAACCCAGTCGTTATCCTACTTATGTATAAATATTTATATACCTGTATATATGTTTACCAAGTTAGCGATTCCAAGTTTTTTCTCCCCACCTACAAAGATCCCAGGAAATCTTCGTGTCCTCGCATCAGCCTCCAAGTGCTGCATGAACATGCCCAGCTCCTGAATCCAAATGCCGAATCCAAAGGGCAAAATTCATGGGTATCAAATCCTGAATTAGGCATAGATAATATGGTATATATATACCATAAATATATGTGATGACCATTAGTATAGCAAATCAACTAGATGATAATTATATGGATATATATATATGATAAATGAGGGATTAGGTCATCCCATTCACTGGGAATCCAAACATCATGGCTACCCTCTGGTAAACTAACATAGCTATTGAAAATGGCCATTTATAGTGGATTTACCCTTTGAAAATGGTGACTTTCCATAGTTATGTTAGTTTGCCAGAGGCTATATGAATCCTGAATTTTAGAATGGATTGATGAGGATCGTCGTCCCTACGGATTTTCAATGGGTCATTGTCGACCCGGAACAGCCCGGAAGAAACTCACATGACTCGACTCATTTGACCGCCCAGTTTGAAGCGATAAGCCACAATGAACATTGGGCTAATCCAAAAGTGACTGGAATTTTCTGGCAATTTGGCCATAAATATGGAATAAATCCACAACCCGAACAATCCCAGGTTTGAGACCAATTTTGTCGTTTACAAGGGTTTTTCTACATCACTTTCAACCATCTGTTGGAAATAATATCCCCTATAGCCGAATTATTTATATATAGATAATCTATCCACTATATATATAGATCATATCCCTATATCTCTAGATTATATGCGCTTTTTCGCGGATGTGAATTCCACTTCCTGCAGACATCGTTTTGATTCCAAGCCCTGGGGGGAAATCACCATCCCCTCCGGCCGTTGACGGTTGACGGTTGACCCCATCTCCTCATCATCGCTGATCTTCAAGAGAACAATGCCTCGATGTCTGTCTTCCACCACCTGGATGCTGGCACTGGATCATGCTTAGCCTGGCTGGTCTTTGTATGTAGAAACAATATAAAATATATGTATAGTTACATGTATATGTGTATATATATATATACATTCTATTATATATAAATATATATTGCATATTGTTCTTATTATCATTACTATTCTCATACATATATTATATTGTTTATATTGTATATACATGTGTACTTATCAGATAATATAGTATATTCGGTTCCATTATATTGTATTATATCGTATTATGATATATGTGTATATCATATTACTGTATAATATATTTCTGTATATTCTATTATATCATACTATACCATATTAGGTATACTATGTGAATATGTGTATATATATATATATATTTATCATATTATATTAAGTATACAATGTAAATACAGTGTATCATATATATCATACTATGTAAATATATTATATCATACATATTATAAACTATGTATACTATATATATATACTATATATATATACTATATATATAGTATATATATAGTATATATATACTATATATACTATATATATTATATATATACTATATATATACTATATATATTTACTATATATATATACTATATTTATACTATATATATATACTATATATATATTATACTATAAATATACTATATATATACTATATATATTATATATATACTATATATATACTATATACATACCATATACATACTACTATATATAGTTTATATATACTATAATATATATATAGTGTATATATATATACTATGTATATATATATACTATATATATACTATATATATATATACACTATATATATATACTATATATATATATACACTATATATATACTGCAAATTTCATGTCCAATCAATTGACCCATTTCCATCGGAATCTGGGCACAAGGCCCCCCTAGGATCAGCGGAAATAAGGGTAGCTGTGCCGATTTTACATGGTAGCCGGCTGCCTGGTTTTCTAGCTCACTTAGCGTTGTCGCGGTGAGCTGGTGGGTTGAAAAGACAAGAAAGAAGTGCAGTGCCATCTGAGCCCAGAGGCGAAGGATGGCAGGGACAATTCAGAGAACATCAGATGGAGTTCCCATATTTGATGGGTCACCAGAACTCCTTACCCTTTACCGTGAAGAAGCAGTTCAGTACCTGATGACCTTTGAGTACAAGAAAAGGTACCTGGCTGGACCCAGGTTGGTGAAAGAACTTCAGGGAACAGCAAAAACTGCCGTGAGAAACATGACGTTGAGGAATCCTCAATGGGTGTCGCATCCTAGGGGGGTCTTTGTCCTCTTGGAGCACCTGGAAGGGGTAGTGGCAAAACCAAGCTTAGTTGAAGCCTCTCGGTTCATCATGAAGTACTTCTATGGCCTACAGAGAAAGAAGTTTGAAACAATGACTAGCTGGATCACACGGCATTCAGAAGCCTTGTGGGAAGCGTCACAGTCTCTGAGGAGGGTTCAAAAAGAATATGGACCAAGAACCAAAGCAGAAAGTAGTCAAGGGTGGCATGATCATGGCCCTCGGAGTGGGGTTCCTAGCCAGACAGGCTCAGTGTCAGGCGATCCTGGACCCTTTAGAGATGATGGTCGGTTGGACGAGGCTGACGATGACGAGGAGAACTTTGGGAACTATGGCTGGTGGCAAGGGCCACATCAGGATTGGCGAGCTCAGGGGTATGGCAACTACGGGTGGTCAGACTGGGGTTACCAATCTTGGCATTCCAAGGAATACGAGCCACCGGAAAGCTGGGACACATCTTCTGAAGTGTTCTTACCAGAGTTCCTAGTGGGGTTCCTCCTCTTACATCGGAGTGGCCTTGACACACATGAACGAGCAAATGTGCTCGCTGCGATCCGGGGCGAATTCTCTCCGCAGACCGTGGCCAAGGCACTTCGAGCACAGTGGTCCGATGACGACCTCAACAAGCGGGATCGGGCAAAGTTCGGGGCAGCAATGACAGCTGTCGGAGGCGAGGATGAGGAGCTGGAGGCTCTGATGGTGGATGATGATGATCACCTTCAAGATCTCTCTCACGAAGACCAACAGGCCTACATGCTTGAACAATCCCGAGTTGATGAAGCTCTAGCTGCCATCCAGACTCAGAAAACAACTCTCAAAGAAGCACGATGGAAGCAGAAACAACTGAAGCTTGGAAGCGGATACTTTCCTCCGAAGCCATACCAAAGACCAGGACCCAGTGGGGGCTCAACAAAGAAGCCCGTGGGAGAAGGGTGCTTCAAATGCGGAGGACCGCATCTCGCTCGCGACTGCCCAAAGAAGATGGAGAAGGAGGCAAGAGTGAGTGAGGAGGCGGCCGAGATCGCTTTTGGAGTCACTCGCATTCAGGAGGACGACAACCTCTACGGCTCTGTGGTCGAAGAGACAGCCATGGAAGCAGTGGAGGGGGAGCAAGTCCTGAAAACATGCTATGGGATCATCCACAGTGGGGCCACATCCTCATTGGGATCTGGAGATCGACCTCAACCAGAAACCCACTTTCAAGTTCGGCAATGGCCAAAAGAAAACATGCCTGTCTACGGTCCACATGGGAATGGAGGCAGGCAGCAAAAGTGGGAGAATGGAAGTTCACGTACATGACTCGCCCATGCAGCCTGTCTTAGTGTCAAGAAAGGCGCTCAAGGCTCTCGGGGCTGTCATTGACTTTGAGGAGGGTACCATCATCTACAAGCGGATCAACAAGCAAAAGGTGGTCAAGCTCAGGGAGGCAGCCAACGGTCACCTTCTGATGCCTCTGACCGGGAATTTGCTTTTAGGAGCTGAAGATAGATCACAGCCCTTTGAATCTCTAAGGGAACACTAGGGGTGTCGCTCTTTTGACGCTATGGACGGAGAGGGAAAGAAACTTTCCGGTCAAGAGAGCCTCAAACATGTAGAGACATGCCATGATAGCTTAGGGGAAGAGCTGTCTAGGGGTGATACAACAGACCATTTTGGAAGTTGTACAATATGCGGGTTAGAAGCTGTACAAAGGGCATTTTGCCATTTTTGCCAGGAACATGAGAGTCATGAGAACCATGGTTGTGGTGAGGGTCACAGAAACAACATACATGCTGCGCACACACAGCAGCAATCAACGTGCTCAAACTCTCAGGACACGCAGTACTCTGCCAGGCCTCACTTCAATGCCGGCACCAACGACGCGTGCTCAGTGGGTATCCCTGTTGGCCGAGAAGGGGACCGTGGTGCCCGACTCCTGGAGCGTCATGCAGATGAAAGCCCACTTGGCAGAACTCCAGCAGAAAGACCAACCAATCAGCAATGGAGAAATGGAGGTGCGCATCAAGGCTTTGAAGAAGGCATCGAACCGCCTTGCCGACTTGGTGAACTTCCTGACAAAGGAGGGGATTCCCTACAGTCAACATGCCACCATCGCCCAACTTTATGCGAAGGGAGAACAAGCCATCACCGAGGACTACGAGCCCCAGGGCAAGGAGCTGATGGGCTTTGGGAAGTTCGGAGGCCTCACCATGGAGGAAGTGATGGATCGTCACCCCAGCTACATGAAATGGGTGGTGGACACCTACCAGGAGACGGATCAGTTTCACTGGAGGCTGAAAAGGGCAGCCGTGTATGCCATGCAGGCTCAGGCCAAGAAGGACTACCAGGAACCACATCCCCAGAACACCAAGTCCAAGAAGGCAACTCCGCACATCAGTGCGGCCGGCAGCGATGGCAGTTTCGAGAAAGTGTCGGAGGGCAAGCACGAGTTTTCTCCGACTCAGTCTTTCCAGAAGACCAAGCACGTTTCCACGGACGCAGAGACCCAGATTGCAGAGCTCCAGCTGAAGATTCAGCAGCTCGAGAACGAGAAAGCCGAGATGGAACTCCAGGCAGCCCGCAGCAAGAACCGGAAGGAGATGTAGGAGGGCAGCTGAGGGTTTTGTCAAATGAAACTGCAGTGCTGTTTGCCAAAAGGTGGGAAACATGTCGGAATCCCTACAGTGACAATTGGTCCCAACTCTATCGCCATGGACGTCCCATTTTGATGGAGCTTGCTTGTTACCCCAACAGTCTTTTGAGCGAAGAAGTTGAACAAAGATTTGGAAAGGGTTCTAGCATGAGGGTTAGCAATTGGAATGGGGGAGACCTGGAAACACCTGAGGGCAGACAACTTGTAAAGCAGTTGATTCGAAAGCATCGGCCTCTTCATCTCTGGATAAGTTGCGAGTGTGGTCCATATAGTCCTCTTCAACATATAAACAAGCGTACACCTGAACAAGTGAAGAACCTTGAAGAGAAACAATATCATGCTCGTTTACAGTATGCTAGAGGGATAGAAGTGGCTGAGTATGCGATGCAATATGGGACTGAAGTCCATTGGGAGCTCAGTGCAAGATGCGAAGCTTGGAAGCTACCTATGGTCAATGACTTTGTGACGAAACATGGGCTGGGGAAAGTGTCGTGCAATGGGTGCTGCGTAGGGTTGAGAAGTGTTGATAAGACACAATTACTCTGCAAAGCATGGACTATTGCGACAAAGAACACCCATCTTCTTCGTCACATGAACTTGAAGTGTCAGAACAATCACCCAAAGGGGAAGTGCGAATCGGGGCAAACAGCACACACCGCGCGGTATACAAGTGTTTTCGTTCGTCGCGTCATTGACAATTTGGTAGAACATGAAGCATGGTCACATGTTGTCCAAGAGTTGTCCCAACCTGATGTGGAGGAAACCTTTGCAGCAGAAGATGCGCAAGAACCACAAGACGAAGGTGAGGAGATCACCAAGGAGGAGAAAAAGACCATCGAGGCCAAGATTCAGCATATTCATCGCACCACAGGACATGGGAGCATGAGGAGCTTGGTGGAGGCTCTTAAGCGGCGAGGTAGCAACAACAAAGTCATACAAATAGCCAAGTCATGGACATGCCCAACATGTGCAGAAAGAAAACGTCAAGATCCACGAAGGTTTTCAACACTACACACAGTAGCTGCCAAATGGGAGGTTGTAGAGATCGATACTGGAGTGTGGATACATCCCGTCACAAAGAAGAAAGTATATTTTATACTATTTGTGGACTCAGGGTGTAGGTTCAAAGTTGGCAAGGTTTTATTTGAAGACTCTCGGAAAACAGCCACATGGAACGATCTCAAAACTGCTTTTGAGGAACTCTGGCTTCCCATCTTTGGCAAACCACGTGGAGTTCGAGTGGACCCGGCAGGGGCATGGCTGAACACACAAGCGGAATCTTATTTTTCACAACATGATATTCTGTTTGACCATATTCCTGCCGAAGCACATTGGCAGATCAGCGCCGTGGAACAAGGGATCAAGACCGTCAAGGGTATCATGGAATCTTTGGCTACTGACTTTGTGGACATGGAAATTCGTGAACTTTTTGCTAGAAGTATTTGGGTTTGCAACAACCAGGAGATCTATAAGGGATATTCTCCACTACAACATGCGTTAGGTAGAGCACCAGATGAACATCAACGTATGTTTGAATGTGATGATGTCAAACCTATCCTTCCCAGCGTTTTGGCTGACGGAGGTTTCCAAGAAGATGCCACTATGAGATGCAAGGCGGAGAAGGCCTTTGCAGAGGAACAGGCCAAGCGGAGACTGGAAAGAGCGGCACGTATGGGGCATCGAAGGGCTCAAGTGTATGTACCGGGGGATCTTGTTTATTACTGGAGAAAACAACTACAACCTGGAGATCGTACCAGTTTTCAAACCGGGAAGTTTTTAGGTCCCGCTTGGGTGATTGCTACCGAGACAAGAAAGGATGAGGACGGGATCCTACGTCCAGGGTCAGTAGTGTGGGTTCATCGGGGAGGGCGTCTTCTCCGTTGCGCCCCTGAACAACTTCGGAAAGCTTCTCCCCATGAACAACAAATTGAAGAACTTCATGGCCCGGTTGAACTTCCATGGACTATAACCACATTAGCAACTGACCCAAGTAGGAGGACCTATGTGGATATTAGTGGAGAAGTACCTTCTGAAGAAGAATGGGATAGGGCTTTTGATCAAGATCCTGAAAGACAAGAACCCGAACGAGATATTCCTACTGTACGTTTCCGTCGAAAAGCGTCAGCACAACCCGAGTCATACAGAGGGAAATTTCGTCAACCGCCTCCTATTCAAGAAAAGAAACGAAGTGAACAAGATATGGAATCAGGAGGTGCCAGCAGTAGCAGTAGGCCCAACAAAGAACCCCGTTCTGATGGTCATGACTCCGCCCTGTTTGTGACCGAGGAATCAAGAAAAGCATATGAGATTGACCTTCAACTTCCTAGCAGCAAGCGAGGAATCAAGAAGTTCACGCAGAACCCCGAGGCTTACATGGTCAACCAACTGAAAAGAAGGCAGGTAGAGGTGAGGGAGAAAACATTGACAAAGGATGAAGCACTACAATTTCATGCAGCAAAACAAACTGAAGTTCGCAACTTTTTGGCTTCTCAATGTTTCAAATCCCTTGGTGACCATATTCCAGAGGAATCCAAAGTTTTGGGAATGCGCTGGCTTCTGACATGGAAGTATGATCCAAAGTATGAAGACGGAAAGAAAGCGAAGGCCAGGGCAGTCGTTTTAGGCTATCAAGATCCTGAATATGCAACACGACAAACCTCGGCACCAACACCATCGAAAGCAGGTCGACAATTATTTTTACAATATTGTGCGTATCGCAAGTTTCGGTTAGCCAAGGGTGATGTCAGCGGTGCGTTTTTGCAAGGAATGGACATGCGAGAAGAACTCTGGTGTCGGCCACTACCCGAGATGTGCGAGCAACTTGGGATTGAGGAAGGCACTCCGATGCTTTTGACAAAGGCAGCATATGGTTTGGTACAGGCTCCACTGTACTGGTATGAATCCGTATGTCACACTCTCT